CTGTAACATTCATGTCTGACACCAGTCTCTTTGTTTTAGCAAATGAAAAAAAACAAAGCTTTTTGCCATTTATATTTTGTAATAAAAAAGTTTGAAGTAAAAGTGGATGCCTTTGATGTTGTTATTGTTGCCATCTATGTGTGTGTATTGATCATAAAATACAACCTCATACTCTGATGAAGTGTCATCAAGTGTTTATTACAGCAATTTTTGGAATTTTCCTCAGCATATTCACTGTCTACATTACAGTAGTTTAGGGTTATTTCCTGCCTTCATTGGCCAAAGGGCAGAAATGGGCAGGTTTATTGGTCCATAGAATGATTATGAAACAAGTGGCAGTCAATCTTCCTCCCTATCTTGATATTTCATCTCCTTGTGATTACTGTGCAGGACTTTATGATTATTTTGATGGATTTGCATCTCTTCATAGTCTTTTTTTTTTTTTTTTTTTTTTGGTAATGGAACATTTTGCCAAAGATTGCATAGGCCCACCCTAAACTTTTCAGTCATGAAGGTGCCTTAGTTTGAATTCAAATGACCTCCATTGATTTTTCTCTGATGCCACTCCAATCTAAAAGCCTTACATTTGCATTCAGCTTTTACTTTCTGGTTTAGGTCCAATACAAGGAGGCTCTGTTTGGGAAGCTTGTTTTCATTATGTCTTAACCTGGGACTGTGTTCAAGGCAGAAATTCTAATAAGCAAATTAAGTGAAGTTTCAAGTACTGAATTAGAACAGCTGTTGAAGGACACCAGTAAAATATATCAAGAAAATTCGCGAAGAATGTGTCATCATTTTTAAGTAGTTTGTTATCTCATCATAGGAGCAGCAGCTGATTAGGCTCAGGCTTGATAGAAGTGACAGTTAGTGGAGTTGTGTCCAAGTTGTTGAACATGATAAGACAGAGAAGAAACAAACGCAGAAGTGAAAATGGCCTCTGGGTCCTGTGTTTCTATGACTCAGTCCATATTGTGGGTGTGTGGCTGATTCTTCACCAGCTGTCTGCGTGTGTGTACATTGTGCCTCACAAATGCCATCGCACTTCACTTTGTGCATCAAAGGAAAGACAAACGTATCGTATTTCTTTAAACTCTGTTAATGTGTTCAAGTAGTAAATAAGGCCAACAAGCATTTTTACTTATTTTTACTTATACTTATTTTAATTATGAGGTAATGCTAAGTCATGTATTATTTTATTTATGATATAGTAGATATTTTTGGATTGGGCCTGGTGAAAAATTCCTGTCTTTTTTAATTATACATGCATAAAGTTTTTAAATTCTCATGTGTCTGGGGTCATATAAACTGAAATCAGAGTAGTCAGGATGTAGATTATGTGTGTATAAAAAAGCAGCTGTATAACAGTACTTAACATCACTGAAGCCTTGGAGAATAGTTAAAAATGTGGCTAATTTTTCAAAGACCTTTCTAAAAAAAAATACATTTGCATACATCAGATAATAGATAATACTGGAAAAACTAGATGAACAATCCATTAAATGGTTACTGATTGATTATCTGGAATCAGACAAACAGGTGTTCAACAAGGATCCATTCTTGGACCTCTTTTGAACTCCACACACAAAAAGCCATTACCTCAGCCAAGAAAAATTGTAATGTACATGTTTATGCAGATGGCACTGTTCTACATGGCCAGTGTTTCTCACATATAGACATTACTTTGGTGGTGTACCCACGTACGTTAAAACCACCCCTTATGCATATTTGGCAACTCATCTCTCTCCAAGAATGACATCATCTGAATTCACTAATGAATAATTTGATGATTCAGTATCATTGTATTATTTGTCTCTCACATTGTTCTGGAGGAATTTTCTCGTTTACACTTCAGTTCATTGAGGTTTGTGAGGATTCACTTACACATCACAGCATTTCTACTGGGAGGAGGTCTGGGCTTTGACTGGGCCGTCGTAACAATTTTTTTCTTTCTTTTTTCAGCCGTTCTATTAGATTTGCTGAAGTGCTTGGGATCATTGGGATGGCTGTGTAACATATTTTCAACCATGCTCACATTTCACCCTAAAACGCTTTGGATCTTTGGAGTCCATCTTTAGTTAAATGACTGCAAGGTACCGAAGCCTTATGGCTGCAAAACAAGCCCAAACCATCACCCCTCCTGACAGCCTGACAGCTGTATTTGTGCTGTTGTGCATATTTCTACTTTGCTCGGGCCTGTCTAAAGGACATTCCAGACGTTTTGTGTTTTGTTTAGATGCTACTTTGCAAACCTAAGATGTTTTATTTATTAATATATGTTTGTTAATTTTTACTCTTCTGTAAAGCATCCTTGAGGTTAATATTATTAATATTATTATACGTAGAAGCTTCTTGTGACAGTGCTTTGTCCCCTGGTTCAGCAAATATCTATTTATTCTAAATGAATCCATATAACACAGACCTGTTAAAATGTACAGTAAATTATATTGACAATTATTAATAATAATGTGATTCGAACAAAGTGATGATCTACAGTGTGTGTTGTGGTATTTAGATACAGAAATAGAAAAAGGTCCGTGTCTACCTTAAGTTGGACTGTCTGATTGTCCTGACCACAAAAACCATCAGGTTTGACCCAGAAATGCCAATCACGGACCAGCCAATGAGAGGAAAACAGATCAATAATGTATTTTTGACCAAAGCCTTAAAAATTGAAAATATTGTTACAAAAAAAAAATCAATGCATTGGTTGGTGTAGGAGAAGCATGATCATTAATCTCTCAGAGCTGACTCACTGTGACCTGGCTTGAACCAGTGAAGGAGGGCTGACGGATGCTGACGTCAAAACCTGCAGTCAAGGTAAGAAAATGTAAAATCATGGAATAACTTTTGCCACCAGCTTTGAAAGTTCTCCTTCCAGTCACCACCATCCTTTTGCATCTCATGGTTCAGTCAATTCACTCTACAACAAAAGCACCAACAAAAAAAACAAAAAACTGTGGCTTTGTTCAAAATTTCTAACATTCATCACACAACATAAAAACAAATCCACATCTACAAGTCTTTCTCCAAACATGAAAGTGTTCCCATGATAATCAGCCATGCTATTATAATCCCAAGTTGTGTTTAAGTCAGTGTGTGGCTAATTGTTATTATTTTTAATTGTGTTTGTGTGTTTTTGTAACTTGATTATACCTTTGTTTAATCATTTGACTGTCATCACTTTGACGTTTGTTGTCATTGCACAATTATACTTTGTACAATGGCACACTGACATTCTGGTACTGTCCCACATTGGTGCTAAAAGAAAGACAAGCAAATCACAACAATACTATATACAATATAAAATGTAAAATATGTCCCATAGACATAGTATGCATAGTCGAGAGACACATTTGTGTCTTTGGTTTTCTTTTTCTTTTTTTGTTTAGAAAGGTTTGAGTCTGCCAGGCACTCCCACAGGCATCCCAGCTGTCAAAGGGTGAGAGGCTGGGTACACCTTGAACAGGTTGACAGTCTATCACAGGGCTAATTAACTTCTACTTCTTCTTTTGGCTGTTTCCTTTGGAGATCGCCACAGTGGATCATCTGCCTCCATCTCAGCCTTTCCTTACCACCCCCCTCTGTCACACCAGCCCTCTGCATGTCCTCCTTCATTACATCCTTTAGTCTTCACTGTGCTCTTCCTCTTTTCCTCTTGCTTGGCAGCTCCATATTTGACATCCTTTGTCAAATAAAGTATATTCACACTACCCTCCTCTGTAAATATCTACTTAATCTTGCCCCTCAAACTTTGACTTCAAACTGCTAAACCTGAGCTGTTCACTCAGTTTTAATCCTGTCCATCCCGGTCACTCCCAGTGAAACTCTTATCCTTTTCAGCTTTGCCCCCTGCAGCTCAGTCGCCTGTCAGTGACACTGTCTCTAAAAAAATTACTTCAGCAGGTCTCACTACCATCTTGAAAACCTTCTCTTACGCTCTTGCTGGTATCCTTCTGTCATAAATCACCGCTGACACTCATCATCCCAAATATTCTCGGCAGATGGCCGCCCCTCCCTGAGCCTGGTTCTGCCGGATTCTTCCTGTTAAAAGGGAGTTTTTCCTTCCCACTGTCACCAAAGTGCTTGCTCATAGGGGTCATATGATTGTTGTGTTATTCTCTGTATGTATTATTGTAGGGTCTACCTCACCATTTACTCTAGTTTAATTAGTTTAAATACAATATAAAGTGCCTTGAGGCCATTGTTGTTGTGATTTGGTGCTGTATAAATAAAATCGAATCTCCACCCACTCCATCCTGCACTTCATCTTTTTCTTTGGATGTGTGACTCCATGTGTTTGCATCTGCAACAGATTTATTCTGTCTCACTTCTACTGATATTCATTCCTCCACTCTTCAGGGCACACCTCCACCTCTCCAGGCTTTCTTCAACCTGCTTTTTACTCTTCACATCATAAAATCATCTGCAAACATCATCGTCCACTCCAGCCTGCCCTCAACTATCAAACTGTCCATCACCATCGTAAACAAGAAGTGGCTCTGAGTCAATCCGTAATGCAATCCTTACCTTCACCTTGAAGCCTGTCATCTGTCATTCCTACAGCACACCTCACCACTGTCCTCAGACATATCCTGCACCACCCTCAAATCCTTCTCTGTAACTTCAAAAATGCTAAAAAAAAAAAAAAAGTGATAATAAAACAATAACTCTACTTGGAACTATAAACATCTTTGCATGGTCCAACAGCAATCCATTTGATAAATGTTGAGATATTTTGGTCTAAACCAAAGTGGTGAATCAACCAACATTCCCACCCATGGAGCGAATGTCTTTAATCATCCTGGCTCTGAGGCTTTTTATGTTAAATTTGTGCGATTGTTGGACAAGTTTCAGCCACGGATTAATACACATTTGGTGTTCTAGTGGGTATTTCCGGCAGCATTGCTCATTGATGCCTTTTTAATAGCTTTTGGAATGCCACAGAAGAATTAGATCTCTCAGAATTGGGATGCACAAAGAGTATTTGTCTTTAGGAAAATCAATTCTTTGTTGGTTTTGTTTCATATTTACCAGTGACGATATAAATGCTCATTCATTCTTTAACTAAAAGCAGCAGATAAAGCATCCCTGCTTATATCCTGCCATTTACATATTTAAAAACAGTTTATTCCAGATATTAACAAAATCATCTATTGCTGTATTTCCAGGTTTAGGACATACAGACACACATTTGGTCCCACTGACTTTAATCTCTACGTTATTTTCTCTTAAAATTTTTCTAACATGTTAAAAGCTGTACTGCAGCTTTTGGAAAGATTTAATCCTGAAGAAAACACATGGAAAAGACTTTTTTCCCTTTCCCACCCACAGCACAGAACACAGTGCTAAATCCACTGGATGCATTTCCTGTGAGTTACACACACACAGATATATTTACACACAATGCATTGGCTTCTTCTGCTAAACAAAATGATGTGGGAGGCGAGATACGTGGCCAAGTCAGTCCTCCCTGCATCTGCTGCTGCAGGAGGAAACACAGAGGTACATAAATGTGTGATTTCATGTGGTCTTTTATGTCCGAGGATTATGAAAAACATCTATTTGCATCTCTGTGGGTTTTTTCCCTCCCTCAGGACTGCAGGGACCTCAAGTACAGAACAAAAGACAAATATCATGAGATCAGTGTCACCATCCCACGTCTGAACAATCACCAGTGACTCTCCAACTGCTCGGCCTCATGTTCCTGTACTCCACGCATACGCAGCACGGATGGAGGAGGAGGAGGACGCTGTTGTTGATTGCAGCCTTTTGACTGAATCAGCATAAACACACTGATGAGGGGAATCCTTCACGCTGCTTTACGTAAGTGGTCTTGTTAGAGATGTTTTCACACATCCTCTCTGTACAGCAACAAGAACCTCCACAAACAGCCTCTGACACATTTGCACTAATTCAGTCAGAAGCGATCAGACATGTTTTTCTTTTCTTTCCTTTTGCATTTGTAGAAATTTTCAGAGTTTCTGCACTTTTAACCTCAAACCACCAAGATTTCATACAGGAATTCTTTCTCACTGACTCTGTTTGTGCTAACTGCAACTTCACTGTTTCCTTCATCTACGGCAGGTATGATACAATGTTTTTCTGTTCAGTAGTTATAGTTTTAATGCAAAAACTAGTTAATCTAATTTGTCACATTGGGCATTAAGTGTCTGCCAGATTTAATTCTTCTAGTCTTGCTCCGTTTTTCATAGTTCTCTCCTTAATCTGGCCATTGCAAATTTACAGTCTGCTGCTGAAACCAACAATAAGCTTCTTTTAAACTCTGATAAAATTAAGGTCACCGCGTCACGTAAATTATTCAGCCTACAGTTCATATTCAAACGTTTTGATGTTATAAAACTGAAACTATTAACTGTTAGAAATATGTTTAGGATTCTGGTTGGATAGCAGACTCACAAAAAAAGGAACCAATCAGGTTTCCTTTCTGCTATGACGAAGATCGTTGTGAGATGAAGAGTGGACTTGATTTAAAACAAAGACACATAATGATTTTTAGCAGAGGTTTCTATATTAGACAATAACCTATAACAATTATACACTACCAGTCACAATTCTGGACACACCTCATTTAATGGTTTTTCTTTATTTTAATGACTATTTACATTGTACATTCTCACAGAAGACACCAAAACTATAAATGAGCACATATGGAATTGTGTAGTAAACAAAAATGTGGGAAATAACTCAAAATATGTTTTATATTTTTGATTCTGTAATTACTGCTTTGTACACTTTTGGCATTCTTTCAATAAGCTTCATGAGGTAATCACCTGAAATGGTTTTCCAACAGTCTTGGAGGAGTTCCCAGAGCTGCTGAGTACGTGTTGGCCCTTTTGCCTCTGTGGTCCATCTCATCCCAAACCATCTCGACTGGGTTTAGGTCAGGTGACCGTGGAGCCTAGGACATCTGACACAGCACTCCATCACTCCCCTTCTTGGTCAAACAGCCCTTACACAGCCTGGAGGTGTGTTTGGGGTCATTGTCCTGTTGAAAAATAAATGAGGGTCCACTAAACACAAACCAGATGGAATGGCATGTCACTGCAGGATGCTGTGGTAGCACACCACCTCCTCCATGCTTCACGGTGGGAACCTGTAGAGCAAGGCCAAGGGTTTGCAGCGCTGTCAAAGCCAAGATTTTTTTCTTTCGCAATTCTTCATAATTCCAAATATCTTGCTTCATGTAATTGATATATCTACAATCTAGAAAGTATTAAAAACAAAGAAAAACCATCAAAAGAGAAGGCGTGTCCAAACTTTTGACTGGTGTGAATATTATAATAGTAATAATATCTTCAACAGTCAGTGCCTCTTGTCAGTTTCTGTATAAGGTCAATACTTTTGGTCAGAATTGTGGATTCTGAATGTTATCAAAAAGCATCATGACCTGGGAATATTACCAGAACAACCCGAGTGTTGGTGTTGAGATGAGGTTTGAGATGATGTCATTTGTTTAATATGTGAACTTTGCCACCAAACATATTCACTGACAATGAAGCAACATGAGGAAAAAATGCAGTTACATTACTAATGTCCTTCTACAAGCAGGACCACCACTCGGCAGTGATCTTAACACGTCTGGAAAATTGAAGCATTTTCTAAAATAGTTTACATTTTATTGTTGAATACGATTTAAAAACTACATGTATGGCTTCAGCAGTCAAATCCAGTCAAATCAAAGATAAGAAACATGAAAACAGTTTAATGACTTTGCCACAAAATACAGATTTAAAACACTCCCTCTGATTTTAATTCAGGACTCTCTGCATAATGTCGGTCTCTTGAAATATCCATACTTCACCAATGCGCAAGTAATTTGCAAAAATCCGACAGCAAAACAAATCTGTTTCAGCACCTGAGACTAAAGCAGGGATGGGAACAATATTGAGATCCTCATCCCAATTTCAAAGCAAATTAGTCTGTGAGTGAAAAGCATGCTGGGTTAATCCTGCTTGTCCCACGACGCTGCTGCAAAAAGGAGATTCTTAATCTCAAGAGTTTCACTTCCTGATTAAAAAAGTTAAACCAAAAAGCATCAAAAATGAGCTTCCTCTGTTTCCACAGCCACCAGTAAACACGAGCATTAGTACAACTATGGTTTAAAATTCTCGTCATGACATGTGTGAATATGGGTTTTCTTCTTTGTTTCTTTTTTATTTTATGCATATTTCTGTAAATATGGTGGAAAATGTCCAATTTTTGGCATTTTGCACCATAGGCTCACCTCTGGTAACATTTTCATGCCGGTTTGTTGACTTTTTTGAGTAACTCCTGGTAACAAACAGACAAATCAATCACGTAGCCTCCTCAGCAGAAGTACAAACACCCCCTTTCTTTATCATACAATTATTACAATATATAAACATTGTTGTAGCTTCTCTAGGGAACTTTTTTTTGTTTGTTTGTTTCAAACACATTTCCTATTTATTGTGGAAAGGTGTATAATGAACATTTGTCACATTTCCCAAATTTAGTATTAAATAAACTATTAAAATTGGTCCTTGGAGCTAAAACTCATAAATACATTCTGTCCTCTAATTGTGAAAATGTGATTATATTTCTACGACTGATGGGCAAGAACTAGAAGTGGAATAACTACTGTGAGGAATCTGACACTTTCAATACCAAAATCGCACACACTCTCCAGCCTTGGCCAGACAAAACTCCAGTTTATCGATTGCAGAGGCTGTTCGTTCAGTATCTCTGACAACGTTTAAAAATCTCCACTGAAGTCAGTCAAAAATGATCAGCTTCTTTGCTCTTCGGTCTTAAAATCTGGAGTCAAAGTCCAAATCTTCCTCAACTTCTTCAAAATCTTCTTCATCAGCCGCCACACCTGAAACACACACAAACATGTTGAAGTCATCTCATATACCAGTAAGAGTGACGTCAGACTCAACTTATTTGTGCTGAAACTTCAGTGTGGTTTTTAATGTGCTCAGGTCAATGATTTTAGTCCGTGTGAGGATTTTGTTTTGTTTTCCAACTATTTAAAATGTGTTTAAAACCACGTTAACGACATACCGCAGCAGAAGCTGATGTTTCTCAGTGTGTCGGCGAGGTCATCGATATCGATGATGAAGTGGCTCATGCTCTCATAACCGAGCTCTGGAAGCTCCAACTTCGAGGCTCTCGCCATCGCCGCCATTCTGTAAACAAACGCAGAGACTTCATGTTAAAAGCAGTACAGCTTTTAACTTCATTAAAGCTGTACTGTACCGAACATTTCAGCTGCAAAAGTTTGTTCCCCTTTAAAAAAAAAAATACAAAAACCTGAACTCATGTAAAGAGATGCATTGCATAAGACTAAACTGCTACGTCTGTAATAAAAGTGAAGCATTGTACTTTGTGTTAATTTATTTTCAAAAGCCAAACCCAATAAAACATTTAAAATGTCACCTTACTGTAAGCCTGAGTTTTAACATGGAAATTGCAGAAAGCAAGAAAGTGAAATTTTGAGTTTATTGCAGATAAAAAGTAGCTGCACATTTTTAAGAAATTGATCATAATGGTCATAAATTAAATGAATTATTCTTACTTGAAGTGTAAATTCCACACGAGTAAAACGACAACAAAACGGTAAAGAACATAAAAGGCTTCTGCATTTAGCACAAAATAAAATTTCATTTTGAAGCATTTTAAACTCAAATCAAACTCGAGCAATACATACTTCTTCATGAAAATCAGAATCAGAACACTTAACAATCCCTCAGACTTGCTGCTTGTAATAACAGAGTCTATCAGCACTGGCAAACTATAGATATTCTCACCTTTTATATCCAGGTCAATATTAAAAATAAGACATGCTCAGTCGTGTTAAACTCATTTTTCTTTAGTTGCTTCTAATCTGCAGCCAGTGTTGGATGAATAAAACCAGCGCTAAGTATTTAATCAGGCAGACTTCCATCTCAGAGACTGATGGAGATTTCAAGTAAAAGGCCAAATGTGACTCGATCTATCAGCAAAGCAAACGCACGCTGACCTCCAGGTATCCCCGCGTGGCTGCTCGCTGACTGCAGCATTGTTTGGTGTTTTGATCTCGTGGCCACAGCAGGGTCTTCTGCTCCACAAGTAATTAGTATGAAAGGGCCAAACATCTGACAGAGAGGGAACGACTGTTGGGGAAGGTTAAGACAGTACAAAATCTACATTGTATATATAAATCAATTAATTTTGTATCAATCACTATAAATAGATTTTTGAAGTGAGCTGTCTCTGTGTTCTGCTCATTTTTGCTCTTTTTATTGGTCGTTCTTGTTGTGCTTTGCAAAAGCAAACGCTTTTTCCAGGGGAGATGCCTTTGAGAAGCACGTGTACGCAAACATTTCAGCTACAAAAGTTTGTTTTCCTTTTTTAAAAAAAGGAGCATGTTCACCTCAAGCATGTGTGACAGACATGAAGCAGTGTGGAGAAGCTGTGGAGTACTTTATGCCGCCTATAACATCGTTCAGCCTGGTGGTGGTTCAGTGATGTTTTGGGGAAGAATATCCATGGAGGGATGCACAGACCTCTACAGGCTAAGCAACGGCACTTAGGTATCGGGATGAAATCCTTGGACCCATTGTCAGACCCTACATTAGTGCAGTGGCAGAAGCATACAGTTGGTTCCTGGAGGATGATGGAAGTGACACTGTGCCCCATGTTGACCTAAACCCAATAGAACACATCTGGGACATGCATCAGTCCATCCAGTGGTGCCAGGATGCACCACAGACTGTCCAGGACCTCAACGATGCCCTGGTGCAGATCTAGGAGGAGATCCTCCAGGACACCATCCGTGGTCTCAATAGGTGCATGCCTTGACGCTGCTATGGAGGTATACAGGCATGTGGGGGCTTACAAACTACCACCTTGAGTTTCTGCAATGGAATTTCGGCAACACTGACTTTTTTCACTTTGATTTTCAAGATGTCTTTGGATTCAGCCCTCTGTAGATTGATGATTTTTTACTCCTATCAAACAACGCGGCATCCTTTCATTCCTAACACATTACTCGGTCCATATCAGTGTGGATTGTTGAGCGATTTAATGTTAGAGGTCATATCAGTGAAATGATTGAACACCTTAAGGTTGGAAAGCTTTCCCAAATCTATGGAAATGTATTTGTGAGACACTTTTTACAGGACTCCATCTAGACTGAAGATGGCTGGGTTAAAAATTAAGGTTAGATCAACTTCTCAGAGTAAAAAGTAAAATATTTGACACGCAGGATGGAAAGGTCACATTCACAATCAGAGCTTCATCCACGAGCACTTACTTTTCCAGTATGGCTTCAGCGCTCTGGTATTGGAGAAAAGTAGAAAAGAGGAAAGAGACAAAGTTAATTACATTGTGCTTCAGTCATCTCTGGCAACAACATCTGTCACAAGTATTTGTCATAGACGTCACCGTGCTAAATGAAAACATGGATTTTTTAACACTGACAGCTGCCAGAATGGCCTGATGGTGTTTACTACCTGCTTCCACTTGCTCTATCTTCTTTAACACCTGTTCTGGCATAAAACAGCGACACCTGAGGCTCAGACTTTCTCTCTCCTACAAACGCACCGGCAGACGAACACATTTTCCTCCGTGGAGACGCAGTGACGCAGACATCAGCAGTAAAGATGCCGAATTTAGTAACAACCTAAAATCGGGTCAGGGACACGTGGGTCATCCAACTGTCGGCTCTCAGGTTTTATGAACTTATTTCAGGTTTTAATCAGTCCTCAAAGTGTGCCATAAAACCTTTTCTCTATAAAAGAGCCTGAATATCTGTAGTGATAATAATACTTGGAGCTTATGAAAACACATTTACGTCAGTCCATCTACATTTTACAACATCGTATTTAATCATGTGTGCTCTGTCCAAAGTGAAAGGCGTGAATATGATCTTTATTACTGACTTTTTTCAGGTGGTAAAAACTGATTCAGGCAGCTGACTGAGAAAGTTGTAGCTGGATTAATTCTGACACAATCTGCATAAATCTAGATTAGTGGAACTGATGTGTTGTAATGGTAAAATATTCACAAACAGGCAAAGTAGCCTGTTCTTTTAGTCCAGCTGAAAACACCATCGTTGAAATTTTAGGGCTTCTGTTTGGTTTGAAATACTCATTTGACCACTGCCCCTTGGCTGGGTTCTTGAAAAATGCCAACCTGTTGTGCTTTTACCCGTTCTGCCAGAATTATTCATCATGGATGGGATGTTTCTGTTGTCTATCTGGATCTAGATAAGGGACAGACCTCCCTCTCTCTGGCTATGTCCATCAGCTCTTCTGGGAGGGAAACCATAGCATTCCCAAGCAAGCTGAGACAATCTTTCCAGTGTGTTATGGGTCTGCCCCAGGGTCTTCCTCCAGGACTTGCTCAAAACACCTTATTTAGGAGGCATCGACGAGGCGTACTATCAGATTTTTAAACCACATCATCAGGTTATTTCTGATGTAACGAGTAGCATCTCCAGCCTGAGCTACTT